ATTATTTATCTTATTACGTCTAACACTATGATTATTGTGCTTGCCCTGGGTCGGGGCGTATCGTGGAGTTAGCGTTACTATTTTCATCGCTATCAGACTTCTCGTTCCCGTAAATAGAAAATCGGCCTATCGTGGACGGGCCGCGATAAATTCGCGATTTCCTGCGGCCGCAGTGACATCGATTGCCGCTCCCGCTCGCTCGTTATTCCCCTCGTTTGATTTTCCTCCTTTTGCCTGACGATAAATCGGAGAGTGATCCTTTCTTCCCTCTCTTTTTTCCTCTCTCTAAATGTACAGTCCGATCGCACGCTGGTCAACTTTACATGCCGGTCGATTTACAATTTTTTACGGCTTTGCGAGGCGCCGCCCGGTGGCGGACCAGCCGGGATAAACGATTCATTGAATTACGAACAATTAATTGATATACATCGATACGTTAATTGAATCCCTCCCCAGGGGAGGATCGACATCGATCGGGCGTCTGGGAAGTGACTGCCGTTTCTCTTAGACCGGTCTATCCCTTCTTTCGCGAGGGCGGCTGAGAATGGACGCTAAATCCTGGAAAGAACTTGCACCGCGTATGCCAACTTGCGACTGTCCTGGCGTCAACTACCAGCGACTGGGAAGAAGGAGAATGATAATGGACAGTTTTAACGTTATTTAAATATTTGTCGAGCGCGCTCTCCACAGCGAATGACGTTTTTTGACTGACCATTTCGGTCGCGTCCCGATCTCGAAGCCCTTTTAACTTTTCGAGGCACGGTGGTATTAACACTAGATTGCCGGAACGAGTCAATTTGACTCATTTATTGCTATATATATATATATATAGAAAAACTTAAATAATTTATCTTTAAAACATATGTTGGTTTTTAATAAAATTATGAAATGTATACAAATGCTAATTCCTTCCTCTCCCCCCTCCTTAGTTCCAAATATCCATATGTGCTATACCTATTTTGACGGATGTGAGTCAAATTGACTCATTAAATATTTTTAAAGTTGGTCGTTTTACCCACATGTAACTTATTTCTTGTCCATAGAAATTTGTTGTAAACAATCCGATTCGATAGTTTTCATGTTCAAACTTGTCAATTTACTAGTTAGATATCTATTGCAAACTTGCACATTCGATACTGTGACATTATTTGTTGCAAGTCTTTTTTGTTGAAAGCTTTTATGAAAGCTGTGATAAAAAATTCTTTGCGTTCTTCCATTTCGATTTATGGCATTGGAGAGAGTAATGCATTTTTAGTAACACAAAAGAAAATAAATTTCATACATTATTTTTTAACAATTTTTGCGTACCAAGGTAATTTCAGAATTTATTTATAAGAGGTATTTACGTAAATGTAAATAAATATTTTAGTTCTAGATAAGGGTTGCTATTATGACAAAAAATGTAGGAGATCTAGAATTGCGAAAAAAACTGACCCAAATAAGAGAAAACCAATCAGATATCGAATCCGATGCATCTGATACCGAACTATATGAAATAGAGAATCAAGCTGATAGGATTGAATTTTCGAGCAGTAAAGATGAAAATCATCATACAGCTCCTAGAAAAAGAAGAGCTTGTTTTTTATCTGAATGTGAATCAAGGGCTAGTGATAGCGATCTTTATATAACTCTTGGCAAAAAAAGAGTACGATATATTCCTGATTTTGAAACCGGAAGTGAATTAGACCCTGCAGATAGATCCGATAATGAAGAAATTTCAACACAAAGGGCTGCTGATGGGACATTATGGGAAACATTGAAAGATGGTAAAAATATTGGTAGATTTTCCGATCATATCAAATTCAAAGACGTCTCAGGGCCAACTTCCTACGCCACAAAAGAAATATTGTACTTTATACTGTAAAAAGTGCTTCCAGAATATATATGTAACAATTGTTTTGAATAAAGTTTTATTTTTTGTTAAACTCCATTTTGATGTTTGAGTCAAATTGACATTCCATTTCAGGCAAAATAGGTATATGCCCAAAATACGGCAATCTAGTGTTAAAAGTGTCCCACCTTTTTAATGCGTGAATATGCACGGTGGGACTATTCGAGTCCCACCCTATAACAAGAAACTTAATTGAATTATTATTATTTTTCTTATGTTTTTATATTATGTTATTCCTTTATTAATGAAAATATATCAACTTTGTTCAATTTAAAAAGAAATGAGTTTTCAGTGCAACATGGGCCTTTTTATTTTCTAAAATTAGGTGTTTTAAAGGGTTAAGGGGATGTGAAAGTGGTATCTGAGGGGTCGATCGTTCATGAAACTTTACGCTGAACTGGGGGTACCGAACCGTTTCTAATTTTATACCGCGAATATGGAGTTTATAATGAAGGTCCTGACGCTCATGAAATTACATTTCTTATACAATATTTTAGAAATACTCATAAACAAGTTTTTAAACAATTGAAATTTCATGAGTGGCAGGACCTTTCTTATAGGCTCCATATTCGCGTTGTAAAGTTTATAACGATTCGGGAAACCCTGTGCGAAGAAAAGTTTCATAAAGAAAAACTCTTCGAGGTCACTTTCATATCGCTTTAAGGTGATGTGAAAGTACCGTCCGAAGGGCATCGTTTTTGACCCTGCTCTCTGAACCGGGTGTATCGAATAATCTGAAATATTATCTCGTGAATGCGAAGACTCTAGGAAAGGTTCTGACACCCACGAAATTTCCGTGTTTTATTTATTTAATAAACTTTTCTTTATTTCCTTTTTGTAGAGCGTGGAATTTTGCGGACGTCAAGAGCTTCCCTAGGGCCTCCATATCCAAGTGGTAGAATGTCAAATAATTAGGTACAGACAGTTGGGAAAAATGTTTCATAAACGATTGACCTCTCCGGATTCATCTTTCGCATCACCTTAAGAGGTTACACTACCTTGATGCTTCGAATTTTTGGTACAAACTAACGGAAAATTAAGTATTTGGCAATGAACATTTATTGTACAGTGTCAGTCATGAATGCCTTCCCTTCACTTCGCATTAAAGTAGAAGAGAAAAGTGTTCTTTATCGAACAAAACGTCGTCACTGGGATTGGAACCCCTAAGCATCTTTACCGACAGCGCCTAATCGGTGTACAGGATTACTGCAAGACAGTAGTTATCCAGGACAAAAAGCCAAAAATATTAATTTTCTATATGATGCTGAGGTTTACTAAAGAAATATGTAGGCATTTTGTAGTATATTAACAACTGCCTTTGCTACGAATATTTTTATAGTACATTTTTAGGTGAAAAGTTACATCTTTTCCTTCAAGTATTCATCATTTTCACAAAGAACCATATTAAAAAAAACCTGCATATTTATTTAGCTAAAGGCATATAGAAAATTAACATTTTTGTTTCTTTTTTCTGGCTATAGCCAAATTTGCAGTTACTCTGTACGCCGATTTGGCGCTCCAGAAAAATATTTTCGTGGACCAGCTTTGAGCGACGTCATTGGATTAAAAAAATGTATAAACCATTTTTTTACCCTTGTACTTTAACACTTGTACACAAAGTGTTTATTTGTAGATATTTTATATTATTTGTCGTTTTCTAAAAAAAGTAATTCTCAAACATAACAGTCTTTCTACGGCATTAAAGTGGTGTAATCTCTTGAAGCTTGTCTTATCATGGCAACATCCGTCAACGACTAACAATAAGACGTAAGAGAAAGATCACGAACGGTCGTAATGTTATTTAAATAATATTTGCTGAAGGCGCAGAATGACTGATAATAATTTTATCTCAAGCTTCAACTTCGTTCGATAATTTTGAGTCAAGTCAGCTAAATGAAGAGCCTTGCTCGATCTAGCGAGCAGAAATTTGAGCTTCTTTCCACAGTTCTCTTTTCATTAAAAGATAAAACCAAACTGTTTGAGGTCCTTACATTTATTTAACAATATTTAAAGAAAGGTAACTTAGGCTGACTAAATCTCTTACGCCTCCATCCTGGTGTGAAATTTCCTCAGTCAAATTAAGTTAAAACAAAAAAACCACTGATTTTCATAATCCATAAAGAATCCTTAATCGAATCAACTACGGACATAACGAAAAATCATTATTAATGCAAGGGCGACATTCAGACGAAAAAAAGAATTTGTTAATGAAACTTTATGGTAAAGAACATCGTGGTAAAAAAAGAAACAGTATTGATAAAAGTACATGCACCGGAGCAGTTCATGCAGTAGAGACAGTTAAGGGGATATGAAAATGGTATCCGAAGGGTTAATCGCATATGAAACTTTTCTTAGATCTGGGTGTGCTGAATCATTTCAAACTTTACAACGTACACGTGAAAGCTATAAAAAAGGTCCTGACACTCGTGAATTTTCAGTATTTATATTGTAAACTTTGAATCGACTCAGCACACCCAATTTGGAGGAACGTTTCATAAACGAGACCTCTTTGACGCCACTTTCACATGCCTTTACGGGGATCTGAAAGTGGCATCTGAGGGGTAAATCGTTCATGAAACTTTTCTCCGAACTGGGTCTACCGAATAGTTTAAAGCTTTACAACGTCAATATGGAAGCTATAAAGAAGGTTCTGACAGCCATGAAATTTCATTTTTGATGAAAAATGTTAAAAATGTCTATAAATAAATTTAAAAACATGAAATATCATGGGTGTCAGGACCTTCCTTATAGCCTCCATATTCACGTTGTAAAATTTGAAACGATTCGGTTCATTCAGTTCGGAGAAAGGTTTCATAAACGAGACCTCTTGGACGCCACTTTCACATCCCCTTCCGGAGATCTGAAAGTGGCATCTGAGGGGTAAATCGTTCATGAAACTTTTCTCCGAACTGGGTCTACCGAATAGTTTAAAGCTTTACAACGTGAATATGGAAGCTATAAAGAAGGTTCTGACGCCCATGAAATTTCATTTTTGATGAAAAATTTTAAAAATGTCTATAAATAAATTTAAAAACATGAAATATCATGGGTGTTAGGACCTTTCTTATAGCCTCCATATTCACGTTGTAAAATTTGAAACGATTCGGTTTATTCAGTTCGGAGGAAAGTTTCATATACGAGACTTCTTTGACGCCTGTTTCACATCACCTTAACTGAGAGGTGTACCCCACATTTAAAGTCAATCGGATAAATAGTTCGAGTTAAACACATTAGCAGTTTCAATAAAGTTATTTTGAGAAATACGCGTTTATAAAACTTCCCATAAGCTTTTAAGTACAATATAAGAGAAATTCTGCATCTACCTTTAATCGGTGACCCCTGGACCTATAAACATCCTTCTTCTTCTTAGTGTTCTCCATTAATGACAAAAATGAGAACATCGATATTTACGATTTTCTGAACCAATCAGGGCCCTTAAAATCATTGTACTGAGAATACTTTTGTAAATATAAGTTGCATTTTTTAATTCACACTTGTACAATGTCTATGGAAGAAGTTACTTTCATGACCGATGTGACCCTTATTTTAAAATTCACTATTGTTAGAAGTGTTCAAAGTTACGTGAACGATCAATCTTTTTGTTGATAACGCACATTTTTAATATCTGCAGCTTGTTGCTTAACAATGTTTACGGAAGTGTCGATCTGTATCGCTTAGAAGGACTTTGTACCATTGATTAACTTCGTTCCCAATGTTCTAACCAACTTACATAAATAGTCTATGTTTATACCAATAACATACATTTTTAACGTAGTTTCTATCATTCTCATCCTTGACTTTCATGACGAAGAACTAGTTCAAACTTGAAGTTCCTTTTTGAGATGTTGAAACGTCCAATCGTGTCGCAATTTCGAATACCGCAGTGCAAGTTCGAGAATATGTTTCATGCAATGATTTGTATCAGTTTATTGCAACGTGGTCCGGAGATCATTAGTATAAACTCGATATCCTGACGTTGGTGCTTCAGAATTTCTATTGATACGGTTTTTTCGAATAATGTATGTCAACAGTCCTCGATATTTAATTAATGCATACACCGTGCAGCAGGTTCTGCATCAACAGATGTTTTTGAACTAATTTGGCACAAGATAAAGAAGTCGTCGGCAGACTTTATTGAATAGAGTCCTGTATTGGAAATCATTTGGGAGGTGATTTAAGAGGATAGGCCACCCCAGATTAATAAAAAAATTGCTGTTACTTTTTTCTTCAATTGTTTTTTTTTCTTAATTTTTTTAATCAATTAAATATGATACAAATGGTTTTAGAACAAAGAATTATTAATTGTACGCAGAGAAAATCATTTTCAGAACCTTAAATGCGTTTCCTTTAAAATGGCATTTCAACACTCGGTATACAGTGTAATTCTTATCGTTTTTATCCAATTTACCATAAATGTTCGTAGAATACTCTTTAATACATTCTGTTGCAAGGTGTGTAGGTTTTCTGCAAAATATTGAAAAATCTTTCTGGAATTAACACTCTTATATGTACATTTTAGAGCAAAAATGTTAAATTCAGTAAACACCACCACCATTTTCAAGAAAATCGATATTTAAAAAACATCCTACGTTGTTGAACAGTCTTTCAAGGGTAGGTAATGAAATTTTTTTTGGTTTTGCTCCATAATAAACCTGGCAGAAATGCTGTACACCATTTTGCGTCCGCAAAAAGAGATGGTTAGGCAATTGGGTTAGGACGTCGCCATTTGTACATGAAAAAAAGAAAAAAAAAATTGTTATACTCTTCAATATATATCTAATAAAGTCCTCCAAACAGATGTTTCGTAAAGAAATTTATTTAGCCTCAATAAATATTTAACTATAGGTTTGATTTTAATACCTTAGGGTGGCATAACCCCTTAAAGAGTCAAAAAGAGACAGTACATCTTCAATTGCAGTCCTTCGAATAAGCTGGCATATTGCATACACGAAAATTCATCATAACAATTTCTGCATTAAACTTCCGAGCACGTAATACAATGCTGCATAATTCCGGACAAAGTTTACGAGGGTGCATACCTAACAATGTGCCGAGTTGCAAGGTGAAATCTTAAATGACAAGAAAATACGTACATAACAGTCGAAAATTCGACCGTGATAGATGCTACAAACACGCAATATCTATATAATTAGTTTCACTGAATGGTTCTGCAAACCCCGTGCCCAAATTTTTCGTTAGTGACACTCCACCGTAACAAATTAATCACTCCCTATTTCTAGATTATTTACAGGCATTCTTGTAGCACCGCGTTGATTAATAAACTGCAATCTAATACAAATTACACTACAAAATGAACTTCGAATGGTTTTGAACAACTTGTCAGACACTTATCAACTTATCAGACATTTCACCGACTCCTATCGCAGTCACCAAAATTATTACATCGCAGCCGAACACTGTGCAACGAGTGCACACGGTGTACATCGTCACAATTCTCACCGCCCTTCGAAACGCAGATTTAACACTAAAACTACCAATCCGGTCAAATGATTTAAAATGTCCACGTAAAATAATTCTTTAACTTTACCGCGTTACCTCAATTGATTTCTCTACCAGTCCTATAAAATGTATAAAATCAATTTTGTATTACCTATTTCTTTTACAGCACGATTTGTTCCTAGATATGTCGGCTGGTAATTATGAAAGTGGTCTAAATAAAAAATATAGGAACATGAATTTATTCCATATCTCGTGTTACATACATTAAACATACATTAACGTGAAATTAGTTTCGCAACGAGAAAAGTGACCTTGGCCACTTTCACAATCATCGGCACATATGTACACATCCTATCCCTATTTCTACCGTTACCGGTCATTTGACCGAATCTCTAAAATCTTAATTCTAAACAAATTCGAGTATGCTCCCCGACATCATTTCATTCCATACATAGATGTCGACACCCGCAGGGCAAATTTGGGTATTCTCCTTTCATTTATTTCTGTCGGTTGAGTATTGTCACCCTACCATCGATATTCATCGCGTGCACATATTTCCTCAGCTACGTGTAGATCTTCGCGCCTACGATAGCGCGATCAGTTCAATTGGAAACAATACATAACTGTTGAAATTAAAATGAAAAAGAAATAACACATTTTCATTGAATTATTATTTCAAAGTCATTTCATTCATCATCGCCCTTAGTAAATTGACACCATTACTTGCATTCATCGGATGAAAATATAAGATTTATTTAAAAACCGGCCATTTAACCGGTCCCGGTAGGAATAGGTACGTATACATCGGTAGTTTTAGTGCTACATTCTTCCTTACATTTTTCCGAAATATATCCTGCCTTGGGAAATTCGCCTAAGCGACTGGAGCCGGCGGTCCACCTCTTCGGGGGCATCTGGAGCATCGGAGGGAAATCTTCTCGACGACCTAACACCGCAGGCAACCCCTGAAGGACCCACTTCTGAAATCGCAGCTTCCGACACTCCGGAGCTCGCGATCCTTGGATGGGCAGGATCGCTCGTCCCATCAGACGTGATCGCCCCAGATGACGGCCTTCTTGGCTCGGTCCACGGACGCAAGGAGGGCGCCATGGGGATGCCAGGACACCGCCGACACGGGGGATCTGCGAACAAAACGGGATCATTCTACGATGAAAGATCGTGCCACGTGAATTCTGGGCTCAGTATTCCACTCAATGCGCTGTCAAAATGAGGTCTCGAGTCCAGAGGGGTGGACCTCCATTCACCCGGGATGCTGCTGAGTCAATATGCATGACCTCTTTAGGCTGCATAGACGCTCAAGTCCCGTCGGTCAGATCAACATTAGAACTACCGAGCCCAGTCAAAATGACGTGTTTTAGATGGCCTACCGCAGCCAAAAAAATCCGCCGGTAGTTCTAAGGTCAAGACGGTATCCTACTGTGACATTTTTAGAAACTCGAAAACTTTATTCAAGTGAAACTTCTTTTAGCAGGGGGTAAGCTTCATTCGCGACACCAAAAAGCGTCACGATGAAGAATACTGGTAGGGAAGGTACAAAATGTGATGGGCTTTCGTGTCGCGGTTCCATATTACATTATACTCTCCTCACTCTTCCTAGGGAGAGAGAGTAGGCATACAACGTGACGCGTTTTCGAGTCGTAGCTAGCGGTTATTTTTATACAATATACTGCTATGGCACCCCCACTCCTCCCTGCTGAGACTGGGGAGTAAGGCATGCCTTGTGACGCTATTTCGAGTCGCTAGCAGCCGCGTCTGCTACCCTGCCTCTACTCCCTGACTAATGAGAAAGATATTGTCGAAAAGTGTTGTGAAAGTACATAACAAGTAGAAGTTTTACAAATTCATAATTTTAATCATTTAAAATTGGTTATGGCGAAAACAGCAACTAAACGAGCAAAGGCGTAATAAGCCACTGAAACAGCCAGCAGACAAATTGCCATCGTTGTCACGAATACAGAGGATGGCAAAAAAACTATTTATTTAACGTTACCTTCTCCCAACCTTACTCTCATTCAAAGAAGTTTCACATCTAACGCGCACCCTGTTTTTCGTTTTAAAAAACAGGTTAGACCTTTAAAATTACACGCAAAATATTCGGTATAAAAAATCACAATACTTTTAGATGTGCAGCGTCTGAAACGAAGTATCGCTCGCTAAATGGGCGACCGCACTGACCTAGCTGAGTAGCGTCGCGTCCTTCTTTCATTTTTTTTAATTGCATTTTCGATATAATAAAAATTGAGCTTGTTCACGCCAAAGGCTGGGGCATCCCGACCTTAGTGATTTTTATAAAAATTTGTAACTGTAAATGTCCTTTGCATATTTTTTCTTTTAATCAAAAGTATTCCCTGACTTCGGAAAGGTCTGCATCACTGCATCAACTCCTTGTTTTATGATTTTATTTGTGCCATACTCGATCATAGTATGTACATTCGAGCTACTGCGAGCTTCACTTGCAATACTTATGCTTGGTCCGTAAAAAATGTCGGAAGTAAAAGATTCTTGTATCGCAATAGATTAAGTACCTGTCATCTTAAACTACATTTAGCAAGCGAGTCAAAGTGCACGTCAGCGTATTTTTCACTTAAATCTGTTTCAGAAAAGTGTTCCGGTCGCCTCGATCCCTAGTTAAATTTCCTGCTAATATCACCCAATTAAGAGGATATGAAAGTCGTTAAGAAATTGAATCGACGTCGATGAAGTAAAATTCATCTATACCCTTTTTGGGAGGAATACCGTTTTGAATACTCAACTGGGAACATAAGCTGGCGCGTTCCATTACCGACATTTATATTTATGTTGAAGTTGTTTACAGTCTACGTTGAGAATTATTGGAACTGAAGCGTTCCATATGTTATTTCGATAAAACAATGATAAAAAGTTCGGTGTAAAACTGTCGAAATCCCGTGAATTCATTATTCTAACGACTGTTTAAAACCAACGTCGCCATCTGTGACGTTTAGCTGCAACTAAATTATTGCTCTAAAAACAAGCGTTAGCTGCAGAACAAGCCAGCATTCTCTTGCTATCGTTGGTGAAAGTATTTACCACATTTTCCCATCTAACTTTGTAATATTCCATTTCTATGATATTCTAAATTGTTCGAGCTTGGTCCTGAAACTCTTCATTTTTGATTCTAAGCCTCCAAGAAGCGTAAAACATCAAAAACGTGCACGGACCACGCCATGTTGGTTCTAGTCCATGATAAGTAAATAAATTTAGTATAAAAAATGAAATTTCATGAGTTCCAAGACCTACTTTAGGGCCTCCATATTCCCGTGGTAAAATTTGAAACGAATCGGTACACCCAATTCGGAGAATACTTTCCCCAACGATTTGACTTCTCAGATATAATGTATATTGCTAGATATAATGTATATAGGCTAACTCTTTCATACCCTCTTAAACTCGTGATAAAGTTTAGTTCCTGCCCCAGAGAGGCGATGTCCGGGAAAATTCGTTAGTGACTGCACACTCGCTCGTGTTTCTTTTTCCCCCTTGAAGCACCCTGCGAGGCGGGTGTCTTAGTAGCTGTCCACTAGGATTTGCATATTAATTCAGGAATTAAGGTGCTGTGAAAGGCGCGGAGAAATTTAATCGACGTCGGTAAAAAATATTATTTTAACTGATATTCCATCAGAAAGAACGAGCGACGTTAACAACATTTATATTTAGATTGAAAGCTGTGCCTCCTGGATTGAATACACTGAGAGAAAAATGCAGTTAAATTAACTATTTTTTTAATTAGTCCTCCTAGTTAAAAAAGAACTCGGATACTTCTTACAATAAAATTAACTTTTTTTCTGGACTAGGAAATCTAGGGATAGTTGCTATATTTTTTTACCTTTTGGGAATAGTAAAATGAACAATTCTACGTTTACTATACATTCAAAGGAAGAATAACAAAACCTTTCAATACTTATGTTGTAAAATTTCATTTTATTATTGTTAACGGAGTATATCGGCAAATATTTTACATGCCCAGATAGTATTGTTAACCGTCATGAATAGTTCTGTTAAATATGAATTCATTTGCCGAAAATATTTTTTGTAATTCTTGATGTTTATTAAACTTATCATGCTTCATTTGTAGGTATTCTCGCATGTCTTGACGTCAGTTAGGGATGGAGAAGTATCTTATATGCAAACGAGCGATCCGTATCGTTTGCGAGAAATCCTCGCCATCTATCGGAGCCATCGAAACTATTTTCAAGAAAGTTTTTAGAAACGTTGGGTACAAATTGGAAGTTGATTTAACCAAACCACAATGGTAAACGGTTATACTAGCAATGTTGTTGCAGTTTCTAAAAGTAGAGTACATAACAATATCTTGCAACATTAGTTAACAATATTTAAAAGATAACCTAGATATTCCAAAATGTTAAAAACCTTTACTATAAATATGGTTACCGTTCCTACAAAATTTGTACAAAAGCCAGGAGGATGCCCAGCTATTGAAAAATAGTCGCAGCTACCAATTTGTAGTAAATCAAACGATAAATTGCGCTCATTTAACAAAAATGGTTCTAATGGTGTCATATTATTCAGTTCACCAGCTCTTTTTTTCTCGGTGTATTATACGGAACGGCATACATCGTATGTCGTTTCAATAGAATGATTACAAAGAGCTCGAAGTAAAACTCAAGAAATCCCCTGAATTCCTGATTCCTGAAACTCTAATTGACTGTGGTGCCATCTGTTACATCTAACAGCAGCAAAATGTTGGGTCTAAGAGTACTTGCTGAACTTTTCTCAACATATTCCATGCGAATCCGTAATGTTCTAATTTTTTTCGATCTGAGCATATTTATTTAAAGTATGTAGCCCTGTAGCAAGAAATATTGGTACTAGCTTGGTATATTGCTGGCCCAATATCATTGAAGAATATAATATTATCAATTACTAGCCGACATTGAACTAATACAATGCTTCGTGTTCCCGTAAATATTATATCCAATATATTGGTATAATATAGGAGAAATATGGCTAGGCACAGGATATTTTGTTATGGTACAGTGGCGGACATAAATGCCAGTGCTCGTACCCTGGCGATACGATCTCCACAAGGAAGGCAGGGTACGTTGCAATACTGGAATATGTGTATATAATTCGTATATCACGATGGAATATTCTGCCAATAAATCATAATATTCACATATCAATATCAAAGCAATTCTAATAATTTTTAGCCGCTATATGACCTACAGTTGACGAATATTGTACCAAATACTAATTATTGCTACACGGGTACGCAAGAATTCATACGAAAGTCTTCGAAATTTTGAACAAAACAGATAGATGGTAAGATGAGAAAAGAAATGAGGACAAATATTAACAAATGTCCCGCAATGCGCTTTTCTCAAAATACGTACAATTGCGTATACGTATATAATTGAAAATCAGTCTAAAAAAATATCCAAGTTTCCGTATATATGCTGAATGACGTAGAGTCGTAAAAGTACCTTTGCACAGAATTGCTTATAAATTCTCCCAGGTTTTCTGAAAGATTCGTATAAAAAAGATTTAAATAAAAAAAATTTAGTGTAGACGTTCTTTGAAATTCGTACATATACGCGTACATCCCAAACGGAATTTAATAGGAAATTTCGCAATATCGTACCTTGAAAGAAGTTTCGACTACAAGTATACCCTATTTCGAGGAGATACTTTTAATCGCATGGTTGGGCCGAAGAAATTAGCACGGTGCGTGCCTCGTCATCGTCGTCAGGGTGATATTAAGCGATTCCGTGGCCCGCGGGTGATTCGAGTCCAATTATGGGCCGAGATTGTGTTTTCAAAGCGTAATGGACGGGTGAATCGCTGCGACCACTGACTAACTATTACAAAGCGCGCAGCCTCCTCTCAGGGCGTTCTCCATCTCGTGGGAATCGCCAGCGAGTTTCACTCCACGTTTTGCGGGCTTTATTTTCAGATATGCTAGTTACGGAGGGACGAGGAAGGGAAGCAGAGACCTACGGGAATTCGTGAACAACGAACGCTCTCCCCTAGTTCCGCAAGTTGCCAAAGTAAACAATGTTCCGCGGAATATATCGAGTTTGATATCTTAGGATGATCTTTAAAGGTGAAGTGAACGGGACATCCAAGGGGCCTCGTTTATGAA